TAATAAAATCTAAAACATAATTAATACCATTAAATCATTTTAATTTTATTAGACAAAGTTCTATCATTATTCCACAATAGTGTCCTAACTAACAAGTGTATGGGGAAAATTTTCTTACCATCTGCGCTTTCTTTACTAATACTGACCATTAATCTCCTACAATTGATTAAACGAATGAGTGCTTAATATTTGTAAGAGAATATTTCTTTTCTATTACTAATTACAGTATAATTATATATTATTATTAGGGCTGACAATGAATCAAACCAACTCGAAGATAGTTCGGAATTTGACTCGACAATTAAATCGTTGAACTAGATTCATGAACCAAATGAGTTGAGTATGAGTGAAAAATTAAGTTCGTTAACTAAATGAGCTGAACATGAACTATACATAGTTCGATTCGTTAGGTTCATGAGTCAACTCGATTACATATGAAAAGAATTATATTGTCTTTAAGATTAGATTTAAATATTTACTTCTTAGACAAATTTAATCTTCAATTTAGTAATTTTTGAATTAGACTCTCAAATGTATCTCTTGAAAGTTGTGTAGGTTTTGAATTAGTAGATTTCGAAGATAAAGCTAAATTTCAATATGATAACTTTTATTTTATTTTAATATTTTATTTAAAATATATATATTTATTTAAAATGTCAAATATACTAAAAAATATATATATTTAAAAAAATAGTTTTTAAGTTCGTGAACCATGTGAGCTGAACCTAATGAGATGAACCTAACGAGTCGAACCGAACTGTTCGTGAACTTATAACGAGTCGAGTTTGAGCTTAAAAAAAAGTTTGTGTCAAACTCGAACTCGAACTCGAATTCGAACAATTCTTAACGAGTCGAGCCGAGCTGAGGTGAGTTCGACTCGACTCGACTCGACTCATTTGCAGCCCTAATTATTATTATAAATTATTTAGCATTTTAATAAATGTTATTATTTTATAATATTTATTATTATAAAATTATATAGTTTATTAAAGATTTAATTAAAATTTAAAGTATATAATTTACAGTAAAATGAAAAAATTATATTAACATAAAAAATTTATAGTTATAAATAAAATTTACACTAAAATTTATAGAATATTAAAATTTTAAAAATTAATATTAACGTATAATTTTTTATAAATATAAATAAAGATATACATTTTAAAGTATATAAATATTAAAGTTTTTAATAAACTATTTTAAATTATATTTATTAAACTATTATTAATTAACTTCAATTTAATTATTTAGTAATTTTAATTTATTAAATAATAATTATATATAACGTTAATTAATTTACTGTAACAATATTTATATATAACATTAATTTAACAATACTTATATATTAATTAATTAATTTACTGTTACAATAATTTATACTGTAGCAATATATAAGAATTTTCTTTTAAAATAACTATTTTTTTTAATTAAAATTTTAAAAAAAAATACGAAATTGACCATATTTTAATATTGAGTCGTCAAATGAAATGGCTGATCAAGGTCACCTTGACCTGAGTCACCATTTCATATGGCGTAAGGGAACCCTATCTTGCAGAGAGTCGCCATTTTATATGGCGCATCTCTTCTCTAATTTTTTTTTTTTTTTGAAGTTTTAATATTTAGTTAATTTTTTTAAAACTTTTGTTATTTTTGTTTTAATTTTTAATATTTATTTTAAATTAATTACTATACTTTTAAATTATCATATTTAGTTATTTTATCATTTTATTTTGTTTATATTTTTTTAATTTAATATTTGTTTTAAAAATTGATATTTAATATTTTTAAAACATAATAAATATAATTCATGATATTTTAAATTTTTTATTTTTTATGTTTGTTTAAATTCTACGTTGTTAATTTTTTATGTTTGTTAAAGATATATATATATAAATTTTGTAGAGGTAGTTAAGGCATATTATATGACACTCGTGCTATTTTATTTTTTTATAAATAAAACTGAACACTCATATAATTTTTCACAATAGTTTTTATCAAAAGACTCAAATTTTTATAATTTTGAATTTAATCAATATAAATTTTTACGATCAAAACAAAGTATAAAGTGAACACTCATAAATTTATGTGATATTTTGTTTCGTACAAAAGAACATTGTGTCCGAGCAATTAAACAATATCACACGAGAGAAAAAACTAAGTTACATAATATCTATTTTTTTGTTAATATAAGGTGTATTCTCGTGGGTTTGCCTTCCTCCAATTTCAATTTTGATGTTAATATTTAAACAAAAGGAATGTGCAGCCTAATAATAAGACATTGTTTGATGTAAAATGGTCAACATCTATAAGTGTTGTCCACATAATTAAAAATAATAGATAAAAATAAAAAAAAAATGTTGTCACGTGAAAAGATTCTGCTCAGGACAAAAAGCTAAAAAATGTTTTACAGAATTTTTTAAAATCTCCCGTATAATTGAAATCAAAATAGCTATTAACCGTGTCTGCTACGTAAGTCATTCATAATCTCCTGCAAATTACTTTTTATCTGATGGTTGAAATCCACTTCATTTTTTTGTTTTTTTATTTTTTTATTTATAATTTTATGTATAAATAGTACAAATTTCTAAGACATATGACATATAATTAATATTTAGTTAATTTTATATATATAAAAATATAATAATAAAAAAAAATAAAGAAACAAAAAAATAGAGTGGATCCCAACTCCATCTAATACTAGCATCATGCACTCTCACACCCATATTTATCCAATTATGCTAATAAAATAAAGTAAAAATATCAACACGTACTATTTAGTGTTAAATTCATTTAATATATTTATTCAAACTTGATTTAGAAAACAACAACACATATCATTATTAAGTGTTAGACTAATTTAATATACTTATTTAAGTTTAATTTAAAAAATGATAATAACAACACTTAATCTTATATTTTATATATTCATTCAAAATTAATTTATTTAATTTCCCTTAAATTATTTTTTTATTATTGCCACACTAAATAACTATTTAAATAAGTAAATTAAAATATGGATTTCTACGAGGGCATTACAAGAAGCAATAAAAAACTTATTGATAATATTCCAATTCAAATTCACATGTCATATTGGAAAATTTCATCATTAAGGCATATCAAAAGAGCCTGAAAAGTCTAATGAACCAATCTCTTGGAATCTCTGAACAACAAGGTTAGCTACATAAATTCATTGGCTATCATTTCAGCATTGGATACAAATCAAGAAAAGAGAATGTTGCAATATATGCTCTTTCTAGAATATGTTTAGTGGCTTGGACTGAACAAGAGTTTCCTTACTTGAGGAATTGAGAAAACACACCGACCGTGAGAGATAAGAAATTGTAAGCCTGAACTCATACGCATAAAGGGACACAAGAGAAACCTGTCATTTCAGAGAATGTCGGGTATATTCCAAAGATAGAATTGTAGTCTGCGATGTTTAGCAACTTAAGCAACAAAAATTGTTGGAGTTTCATGCACCTTCAATAGGAGGTCATGCTGGTATAGTTAGAACTATTGCTAGAGTTTCAGAACAGTTTGTTGGAGCTTCATGCAATACAGCGGGTAGACTTGAGCCGCAAGGATGCGACATGAGAAGAGTGTGGTGATATGGTGAACATTTATCCAAACTTCAAAACAAACCTCATAGATGACTATTTTTTAATATTGGCTTACTTGTAAGGCAATAAAAAAAATTAATGAATAATCATTGTTCTTTTTAATACTTACTTTTTTTTTATTAGTTGAAATATATGTGGATTCTCATTTTGTAAATAAATCTTACATAAGTGGTAGGATCCATACATATTTCAACCAATAAAAAAAATGAATGTCAGAGAGTATTAAAAAGAAATGTTATTAGTATTTCTCATATCTTAATACATATACCACATATCTGAATGCTTTACCAAGAAAAAAACATTAAATCTCTTTCTCAAGAAAAAGAACATAGTTTTGAAGAAGAAAAAAAACACAATTTTGATAATTTAACTTTTAAAAATAGTTTTAATGTTAAAAAATATTATAAATTCATCATTAATAAAACAAATATATCAATTTTTTTTCCTAATTTTAAAAACTAAAACAAAAAATCAAAACCTCTTAGCACATATTTAAAATTTTCAATTTTGAAAACTCTACAATAAAGAATAATTCTCAAAAATAATTTTGTATCAAACAAATCATATAATTTTCAAATTATAAAACAGTTTTACACAATCAAATCAAACTAACCCTAAATATTTTATTTGATGAAGGTCATACAATGGAAAGGTGAAAGGAATTAAAACCTAATTCAGATTCTATATTTGAGAATCGTCCATTCTCTATGATTTTATCATTTTAAAAAGCATAATTGTATTTTTTTTTCAAACAATTTAATCCAATTAAATAATGATATTGAGATCATTCAGGTTAGATGTACAATTCTTATAACTCCAATTCCTCTGTTACAACTTCAACTTGTATTAGTTCTTGGAAAGGCAACTCATCAAATTAATTCATAATTCACATCAATATTTTTCAATTGCCCTATAAGGACTTTAAAGATTGTTTTACTTCTGGTCATCTATGACCGCATACACGATCATAGGCTTCCCTTGTAATGGGAAAGTGAAACAGTAAATTATGGGTTATGATTATGAAAATTTGAGTTAGAAACTTCTCTTCCTATATGCAATTGTGAGTATGTGATAGACAATGAGTTTGAAGGTGAGGAACTTCAAAATAAACATGAATCTAAGCAGATGTGTTGTTATCGCACAAACTCAGCATTATCTAAATATGTGTGGCCTAAAATATCATTACCCCCCATTCAAATTATAGCATTACAATTTATGAAGGGTTGGTATTCAAAAACATTTCACCTTTAATGAACAAAATTACTCATAGTATGTGTGCAAGTGCAATCAAAAAGCTAAGAAACTAAATTCATAAAACATAAAATAAGGTACAGCAAAGAAACAAAATCTGAGGTCAAAAATGCTGCAGCCACATGCTGTTTAACGATTTGCCTTAGCTACTCTTTCAATTTCATCTTTTTTCTTGATCGCATAACTGAAACACAAAATAGATAGATTAAGTTAATAAAAAAAACAAAATAGATAGATGAAGTTAATAAAAACTTTTTATCACTGAATAGAATTTTAATAGCACACCTGTTAGAAGAACCTTTTGCTGCATTAATAAGTTCATCAGCCAGACACTCAGCAATTGTCTTAATATTTCTGAAAGCAGCTTCACGTGCTCCGGTAACTAGAAGATAAATAGCTTGATTAACACGGCGAAGGGGTGAGATATCCACAGCCTGTCTTCTCACAACTCCAGCAGAACCAATACGGGTTGCATCTTCACGAGGACCACTGAAATGGGCAGTACATACACAACAGATCAGATTTAAAAAATTGTATTTCATTCATAAAAAATGCATTTCAACACAAACTTAAACAACGTCACATTGGCTTGTTGGGTACATCCACATACTAATACTAATAATTACAAAATATCCTTTTTGACAGTAAGTAGATAATAACCAACATTTGTGATTACACTTAGTTTATTCAATTTTTCAAATAGTTATCGGTGTCGTCTACGTGTCAGTTTTGGTTTCTTGTTTCCGGTATCCGTACTTCAAAGCTTCCAAGTATAGGAAAACAAAAAATTCTCCCTACATCCTCCATGCTAAACCAAATAACAAAATAAAAACATTATTCCAAAAATTGCAAATGTTTCTTTACAATAACAGCTTAACTTGATTCACAATTATTTCTTCTCAATCATGTTATTAGCAAACAACAAATTCATAACAAACTTGAGTTTGAAGAAAGAAGGGCAAATGATCCTTGTGAATTGATCATAGCATAACATATCAAATTAGCTATATCTATCAAACAAAATCTAACCAGTCATCAAAAACAAAAACAAACATATAAATCTAAACTCACAGCAAACCATACCTGTTGATAACAGCATCAACAATAACCTGAATCGGGTTCTGATCAGTAAGCAAGTGAATAATCTCCATGGCGTGCCTCATTATTTTAACTTCCTTAAGCTTTTTTCCATTGTTCCTCCCGTGCATCATGAGAGTGTTTGTAAGCCTCTCAACAATGGGACACTGCGCCTTCCTGAACCTTTTCACAGAATATCTACCAGCAGTATGTGGAACATATGTCGCATGCTTTGATGCTGAAACTCCAATGTAATCACTCAAAGACACATCAGAAACCTAACACATCAAAAATAATAAAATTACAACAAACAAAAACAACAAATTTGAACAACACTGATCAATGAATAATTTATTATCCATAATTCATAGCTAAAGTAAACAAAAACAAATTCACTCAAATTGTTCGAACTACATAATTTGCATAATCTAAATATAAATCTGAAAGTAAAAAATGAATAAAACCTGAATGTCATCGAAGCTCCAGCGGTTAAAGAGTTTGACTTCAATCTGAGAAGGATCTGAAACTACGACAGGTTCTTGAAAACCTTCAGCCATGACTGAAAAAAAATCAAACAAAGTTAGTTATCGAAATCGGAAGAGGAAAAGATAAGGATAACTAACGAAAATCAGCCATGGCTGAAAAAAAACAGAATAAAAAAAATTAGTTACCGAAATCGAAAGAGTATGTATAGAGATAAGGAAGAAAGCTGGGAAAAGCAAGGAAATTTGCTGTGTGAGAACGGTGTGGCTATGGAGGAAACAAAATCAATGCGCAGAAGAAGAGAAGTGTGTCAAAACCCTAAACTTCGTTCATCGATCAATTTAACAAAAGGGCTAAACCCTAGAGAGAGATATCAGTGGCCCGGCCCATTATAAAATAGTTATTAAAAGAGCGAGGACGGTCAACTCCAGATAGACATGGCATCCCCCTAAAATTATGAAAAAGACAATACTGACTCTATAGTTTTACTTTTAAGAATTTTAAAATATATAGTTCAGTCGCAGAAATTTAAAATTTTAGGGGCGATATCAAAAATTTCGTTCCAAATATTAAAAATTTTAGAAACAGTGAGTTTTTCTCTGTAATTTTCAGAATTTTTGATAATTCGTATCAAAAATTTCAAAATTTATGATATTTACTAGAAAATTTGTAACAAAAATTTTAAAATTTTTGATATATTCCATAGTTTTGGTACCTAAAATTATAAAATTTTCGGTACAGAACCCATTGTTTATTTTAGAAATTTTAAAATTTTCAATCGTTATAAAAATTTGGTTATTTTCTGGAAATTTTGTAATTTTTGGTATGCAGCATGGTTTTAATACCGGAAATTTTGAAATTTTTAGTAGTGGCCAATATTTTTTTTTACTTTTATTGCATGAATTTTTTATTGATTCTTCTTTTACAATGAAATACAGAGTCAGAGACGGAACTATTACAGGAAGAGCTCTTGATCGAGCGGCATATTAGAGTAGGGTTGTCAGGGGTGTTGGTGCTGATGTTGAGTCTTCCCAGCTAGGGCAGGATAAATGACCCCAACCGATTCACACAAGAAGCGGTTTATTGAGCGGGGACAGTTCAGAACATCTCGTTGTATTCGACGCCGACTTGGTCGATCAGTAGAGCATGTAACACCTTAAATAACCCTCGCGCATAATTAAATAAAATCATAATAATTAACCACAAATTGATATTTAGGATGTCACATTCAACAAAAATCTTCTCATATACATGATGTGTAACACATGAATTTCTAAAAATTATTTATAATACCATAAACAGTAAAACATGTTTGAATATCAAATTTTATTAAACAGCAGAAACAACATCAACCATTCCAGTTGACAACTCAAAGCATAACATATCTAATAGTATCTTAAGGAAATAACGGGCATATGAAATAAGCATGGTAATCATCCACCGACATAATAAAATACCCAACGTTCCATAACCCTGGTGTTACACATCAGAGCAGACGCCGACACTAAAATAAATTGAAAGACTACAGCTTCCACTCACATCAACTCCTCTACTGCGAGTTATTTGTATGATGTCCATACAAAGGTAACATTCAAACAGAAGGGTGAGGTATCATAATTATATAAAGGAAATCGTGATAATGAGCAAGCAACAGGTTATTCCATGCACATCACTGTCGCACCTCAAAAAATCAATCGAGAACACGATCCTCGCGTGAAAGGCGTAGAAATGCAGTTCGACAGAATTGCAACCGAACTTTATTTATCCCAAAAGATGGGAAAGGAAAATATTGAGAAAACCTTTAAATGAGAGATAAGAACATGGTCGTCGCAACCACGTTCTGGGTTCGGGAGTCCGTTACGCAGGGGGAAGGTATTAGCACCCCTTAAGCCTATTGTACTCAACGAGAACCTCTTAGTTCGATTTGCGATGGGCGTTATCTAAGCTTGTTTGTTTTCTCCTCAATGATAAATGTTAAATGGTACGATAAAAGAACTTGAAGCTAAAGAAAAAGGTTTGTTTAAGGTTAGGGTGATCACCGAGGATTGGGGTCCTTGTACCTACTTATGCTCATTCGGACGAGAATGAGAAATCAGAGCTTTCGTAGTTCGACTACGGGAAAAGATAGAGGGAAATGGAAAATGGATAGAATTATGCACGGAATGACGGGAAAAGATAGAAGTGTGCTCGCCAAGATCATTGCAATCTTATGCCTACATGTCTTACATTCAGATGAGAATGAAGAATCAGAGCGTCTGTAGCTCGTGGATACGACCACGAAAAGAAAGGGGTTGAAATGGTTAAAGTTTGGTTTGGAAATGAAAGATTGAATGAAAAACAACCCAAGGGGCGTGCCTCGAGAGTTGTCATTTAAGAATCCAAGGAATGCGAGATTCCAAGAACTCAGTTCTTTTGGGAGTTGATGTAAAGGTTTTGAGAATGGTTGAATATTTTGAATTTGAAAGATCGAATGAACAACAACTCAAGGGGCGTGCCTCGAGAGCTATTCATTCAAAAATTCAAGGAATGTTAGACTCCAAGAATCTCCTTCTTTCATAAGTTGATTACGAAAATGTTTGAATAAGAATTAAGTGTTTTAATACGAAAGGTTGAATAAACAACAACTCAAGGTGTGCGCCTCAAGAGTCATTCATTCGAAGATCCAAGGAATGTTAGACTCCAAGAATCTTCTTCTTTCATAGTTTGGTTAAGAAAAATAGTTTGAAAACGATAGATTTGGTTTGGTTGCGAAAAGAGGTTGACTACGAGGTAAAAGGCACTCGACTTATGAATTTGAATAAAATACCACTTGATGTTGGACCAACGGTTTGATGGTATTAGTGTGCAACGAAGATTGAAAAGAGGTTGATTTGAAAATGGCTTGACGATGAGTCGAGGGTTTGGTTGAAAATAGGTGAGAATCGATACAGTCACTAGGGTTGCTCCTAATAACGAAACCACGACGAAATGTGTGAGTGTGTGCGATAGGTTGATGGCGAATGTGTACGAGCAATCGAATTACAAGGGTGTTTGAAAATGTCTCGATGACAAATCGAGAATTAGTTTGAAAACAGATTAGTTTATGCTAGTCCCTAGGGGCGCTCCTAGTAAACAAACCACAATCAAAGAATTATGAATATGTACATCAGAATGGGAGCGAGGTACATGTAAGTTACACGGTATTCCATGAAATAAAAGGGTTCATTGTAAGGTAACCTAAGAGGAAGTCGTGTGCGTGTGTGAGGTGTCCTAAACTAAGCCTTGAGCAAGAGTCGGACAAAAGCTCCAAGTTAGGGTTTCTATATACAGTCCAAATTTCGTTGCTCGGAAAAGTAACCACAGTCCACCAATTTAGGCTTTTAGGGTTTCAATTGTTATTAGTGTGCTTTCGAATAGTATGAACAATATATGATGAATATGAATATTATATGAACAATGTGAATAATATGACAAGATATATAACAATATAATCAAGACAATATTTACAATAGTATAATCAAGATAATATTAACAAGTATATGAACAATGATAATAAAATCAAGATATATTGACTGAAAAATAAATCAAGAATATATTGACAGAAATTAAAGTTAGTAGTTAGTTGTTATTGAATGAATTGGGTCGAAATGTAGCGCTAAACTGTCGTAGCACGATCTATGACGAAGATCACACTATAGAAGGTTGTGCAAGTTGATATTCGTGCTAAAAACACGATGGAGAAACGATATTGAGGATCATTCTCCAAAGTAATCGTGTCACATGAAAAGAAAAGGTGATAGTCTCGTCTTAATCATAAACTCGTATTAATTAATCGAGGATAATCTATCACGATCTCATCTCGATGACCACTCACTACATATTTGAAATAATGAAGGTTAACAACTTCAATAATCAACGTTTATGAATAAAAAGACTTCATTGATCGATATTGAAAAAGAAATTAAATTGAAGATGAGAATGAACTGGTATGAGATAAAATAAGTTGTAAAAGGAAATGGTCTAATTTCAATCATGGATTTTTATCGATGAATCGACATTCCACAATTCTTAGATTTTTATCGACCATAAATTAAAATGAAAATTGAAATGAAATGAAATAAAATGAAACGAAATAAAATCATGGAAGAGTAGATTAAGACATAAAAAAATCTAATAAAAATGAAAGAAAATTCTATCATAAAAATTAGGAAATAAATAATAATAAAAATAAGCTTTAAAAAAATGAGAAGGAGGAGTGCATATTAGATCAAGGGTGCGTGGTCAGAAACAAATGAGGATCATGTGGGCTCAAAGCCCATCACCTCTACACAAATAAACTTCAACGTATGCTTAAAAAAAGTAAAGAGTGGGCATAAGAAGTATCAAGGGTGGCAAAAAAAAAGAAGAAGATGGTTGACACGAAGCAAAATTCAACGTATCCTAGAAATGATTTGGCAACAACAGGGATCACTTCAATTTTTTACTCAAAAAATAAAAATAAATAACAAGGCTATCATCATGTTCAGCCTCATTCTAAATCAACAATACCAAAATCATTTTAAACAAAAGAACACATTCAGAACATACCCACTTGAAAAGTGATTACCGAAAAAGCCTCAGGTCACATTTCGACCCTCTCCTTGACGGCATCAGAAAACCAAACAGTGTGCGGCGTTCCGACCTTCACACACGGCGAAATTCGTTCCATCTCAGACTCGATTCGCTATGATTTACGATTTGTTTCAAGTTCGTGAGCTTGTTTCCAGATTCGAGCACGGTTTTGGTTTTGCTTTTGTTCTCCCTTCTTCTCTCAATCTCTCCCTGTTTTGCTCTATTTCTGTTTGATTATGCGGGTTTGAGGTTTGCTTTCATTTTATCTCACTCAATCTTCTTCTCCATTTCTCGTTTCTGGTTTAAAACGATTTGGTTGGTGTGTGGTTTTGGGTTGTGGATTTTTTAGGTTTGTATGGTTGAGAGTGAGCTACGAAGAAGAATGTTGAAGGATGGAAGGAGGTTGGTTGGTTTGAAGTAGAAGGGTAGAAATTATTGATGTTGAGTTAGTGTTGGATGGAGGACGATTGAAGAGAGATTTGAG